TTTAATCTTTTAAAAAATTTTTATTTATCATTTTTTAGACTTTTTTATATTTTAGTTATTTTTTAATTTTATGTGTATACGTGTATTGCCTGTGTGTAGGTTTTATTTTATGTATATGAACGTATTGCCTGCATGTAGGTTTTATTTTATGTGTATGAACATATTGCCTGCATGTTGGTTTTATGTGTGTGAACGTATTGCCTGCATGTTGGTTTTATGTGTGTGAATGTATTGCCTGCATGTTGGTTTTATGTGTATGTGCCTGCATGTAGGTTTTATTTTATGTGTATGAACGTATTGCCTGCATGTTGGTTTTATGTGTGTGAACGTATTGCCTGCATGTAGGTTTTATTTTATGTGTATGAACGTATTGCCTGCATGTGTGCAAGTGCACCATTTCTTGCAGTGCCCTCAGAGGTCAGAAGAGAGTGTTGGATCCTCTGGAACTGGAGCTACAGATGGTTGTTAGCTGTCATGTGTGTGCTGGGAATTAAATCCAGGTCCTCTGCAACAGAAGTCAGTGTTCTTAAACCAATGAGCCATCTCTCCAGTCCCCCAATTAAACCTTTTTATAATTAAGCAGTTTTAAATTTTTACTATATTTTTAGGTGAAAAATATGTATGTAACAGTATAAAATTCTAAAGATTCTTCCCTGATCCTTAGGCTATCAATTTGGGGGGGGCTATTAATGTGCTTTGAAAACATTTCATAAAGGAGGCTGGAGAGATGGTTCAGAGGTTCAGAGCACTGGCTGCTCTTACAGGGGACCCAGATTCAGTTCCCAGAACCCACATGGCAGCTAACAACTGTCCTGGAACTCCAGTTCCAGGGTATCTGATGCCCTCTTCTGGACTCCACAGGCACTGCATGTACAGGTACACTTACATAGATGCAGGCAAAACACTCATATACATAAAATAAAAATAAATCAATGATGAAAACATTTCATAATGGAAGTTATTAACTAGGTCCAACTAAGTCTTTCATTCTTATAGGTTTCCCTTCCAAAAACCAAAAACCAAAACTCGTTATTGGTAATGAATGCATGCAACAGTTCCTCAGTATCAAGACAAGGGTTGATAACGAATGGTCTCAGCTCCATCTTTGTACCCGAGAAGATGAAAACAAGTGACCATTCCCCACATTGCAAGAGGTATGTATTCCATTTTATGCAACCTTTCTTTAAACCTTCTCAAGAACTTCACTTCTGTAGGTATTTTGCCCATTTAGTAGTGGTAATTATATTACAAAAGTTTGCTGTATATTTAAAAACAATAAAATAATTGTCACCAACATGTATTCAAATTACCTCCTGGCCTGTCTTCCTGCTAAGGGCAGGCATGAGTTCTAGCAAGGTTGTCTTCCTTCAAGAGGGCTGAGCGTGGATTCCCCTACCTACCTTGTGTATCATGAAGAAGGCAACAAGGTCCTCGAGGGATCTGATGACAAGCTCTCTGAGCTGGAGTGACATAAAGGAGGCAACAGAAGCAAAATATTCCTCAATGTTTCGAGAGGAGTCATAGTCATTCTTGGGAGCAAAGTGGACCCAGTGTTCCTTCTGTGAGATGAAAAGCTGAGCACAGGTGGGGATCCACCTATGGAGACAGGAAGAAGAAGTAAGAAGCCTTCCCAGCTCTCTGAGCCAAGTAAAGTACCCATCTGGGTGTGTCCTTCTATAGAGCATTGACTAAGGGAGAAAGAATGTGGACAGCACAATCCCACAGGCTGGAGGCTCAGAGGAAATGAAAGAGGAAGAAGCCATCAAGTACAGACATTCTCTCTCACCCTCCTGCTCCCTCTCTGCTTCCTGGCCATCATATTGTGAACTCTGCTGCTCTACCATACCTCCCCACCATGATGCACTGAAACCCTTGAAACCATGAACTGAAATATGTTCTTCCTTGAGCTGATTTTCTCAGGCATTTGTCACAGCAAAAGACAGCCTGAGAGAAAGACTCACCACTGTACATAAGGTAATTTCTCAGCTCTGGATATAATCCTACATGCCTTCACAAAAGTAAAAGATGTTGTCTAATGTCTGAAAAGCCCCTAACTTTTGACTTTGAGGCGTTTAATGGGTTATCTGAATATAAGTCATTCAAGTACACTGTCTTGTAGTGTGGTCTCAGTCCACTGAGACTGAAAGGATTCACAAAGAAGAAACAAAGTGATGTATTAACAAAGAATGAAGGTTTTGAAAAGGCAGAGGGTGCCTAGGATTAAGGAATAAAGAGAACAGCCGGATACGAAGTTACCAGAGGACAGACAGAAAGAGAACAAAGAAAGGGTATCATGGGAACTCAACAAACTTTGTGTCTTCCCCAGATGGGAAGCCAGTTTTCACTTCTGAGAATTTTCTGTCTCTACAATGCTGGGCTGCACCCCAACTCTGGGAGATACTGACTTGTTGAGGAGAATTTGACGTGCTTCCATGCAGTGACTCTGGATCACATCCTGGTACTCATCAGGCAGCAGGGGAAGCTTTCCCTCCAGTAAGTCTGCAGTTCGGACAAACCTGAGGTCTTTATATCTGCCAAGGGGTGGGAGAAATACCATACTGAAAGACTAATAAATCCTATGGGACAAGCTCAAAGGCCACATATTCACATTTTTAAACTCTTATGCTAGAATAGTCCTCCTAGAACTACTGATGCCACACAATTGGAGTAGGATCGTGGAGATAGGGAAGAGCAGAAAGTAACAAAGAGCCCTAACCAAGGTATGGTATTGAGCAGCATGTGGAAACAGAACCATGGAGGGTTACCTGCATGCTCATGGACTGCTTTTCTAACCTACGCTGATTCTTCTCAAGGCTTCATGAAACAGCTTTGAGGAAACCAGTTGCCCCCCCCATCTCTCTCTGTATGTGTTGCTGTGTGCACACATGTGTGCATATGTGTGGAGGCCTCAGAGGTCAACATTGGGTGTCACTCCTTGGGCGCCATCCACCTTGCTTTTTAAGACAGGGTCTCTCATTGGCCTGGAACTCACCAAGTAGGCTAGGGTAGCTGTTTAGAAAGCCCTGGGGATTCTTCTGTTTCTGCCTCCCCAGCCCTGGGATTTCAAGCATGTGCCATTACACCTGGATCTTTTTACATGGATGCTAGGGATCGATCCAATGGAAGGTCCTTATGCTGTGCAGCAAACACTTTGCACTGCTCCCTGGAATTTCTATAATGAGTCAAAGTTGAATTTTAATCCTCAACCACAACACTCACCCTGTGGGCAGGTTCACTGTGGAGAGCCAACACCCTTTGTACTGCTGTGCTTGAACCATGTCAGCACTCTACATATTTGTTGAACAAATGGATGACTCTTCAGCTCTCCTGTGATGCTGTTACAATCTCCTATTTCTCCAGATCCACGGTGACCTGCCCCTTGCTATTCTCTCCAAGGCCCCCAGTTCTCTTCCTAACACCCATCCATCGGTAAGTTGGTCCTTTCATCATCACTGATACTTCTCAAACTAGATCTCTGTCCAGTTTCTCAGCTCATCTCAGGGCTTGCCTCTTGATTAACATCTGCCTTAATAACCCATCGGACACTCTTCTTTCCAAAATGCCTTTGGTCCTTTAGGAGGAGATAGTAAATTTAGTCTTCTTTGTGTGTAACTAAGAGCAAAGCACTTCTAGGGAAGGAGTGGGGCCTGAGGACCTCACTTGCTGCACATCTGATGCCCAGCACTGGTATGGCTCTTGTCTCTGCCTTATGCATCTTTAATGGAATCTTGACAAACTTTCTCATTGGTTGGCCCAGATTCTCTACTTTTTCATCAGTCTCACTCTAGTCCCAAATTCCCAAAGTTCACCAATCACTCTTGGGGTTTTTTCTCTTAAACATTTTAAAGTTGCACAGTGCAGGTCACGTAAGAAAATCACTCTGTTTTTTCCTTAGCAAATCTTTCCCACTGATTTTGAGCTTCTGATTTTTCTAATGAAGAACCTAGGTGGCTCATTAGCCTGATCTTCTGTGAACCCTCCCACCAGATTTGTATCCTTCTTGAGGATCCTATCAACACAAAACAAAAGAAAAAACAAAACCAAAAAACCCCAAATCACACATTTTCCCCTTCTCCCAAATAACTAATGAATGGATAAACAAAACTTGAAATGGCCCAAATGGGATATTATTCATCCATAAAAAGAGATGCTGTGACTGATGCATGCTTCTCTGTGAACAGATGCCAAGAACATTATGTTTAACAGAAGAAGCCAGACGCAAAAGGCCATATTTTATACGATTCAGTGTATATTATATAACCACAATAGGCAAGTCCACAGAGGCTGAAAGTAGATTAGTGGTTGCCAGGGGCTAAGAAGAAGAGATAAAAGAGTGTAACAAAAATATCCTTGGACTAGATAGAGGTAAGCAGGGTATAGATCTGGAAAGAACCTAAAAACTAGTTCATGTGCACTTTAAAAGGATGAGCATGTGGTTTGAATGAGGGATGTCCTCCTAGGCTCATGTATTTGATGCTTGATTTGCAGCTGGTGATGCTGCTTGGTGAGGTTATGGAACCTTAAGAGGCAGAGCCTTGCTGGAGGAAGTACATCACTGGGGTGGGTTTTGAGGGTTTATAGCCTTGCCTCGCTTCCTGTTCTCTCTCTCTTGCCTATGTATGCATGAAAATGTCATCAGCCAACATCCTGCAGCTACCTCCATGATCTCCCTGACTATATTCATGCCTCCCCTGCCATGATGGGCTCTCTTCCTCTGGAATCAGAAGTTAAAATAAATCCTTCCTTCGTCACTTTGCTTTTGGTCATGGTATTTTATCACAGTGACAGAAAAGTAACTAATATAGTGAGTTTTGTGGAATGCGAATTACAGTTGGTCTTATATAGCTTGGGTTCTACATGTATGGATTCAAAAAACAGTGGATGAAAAATATTCAGGAAAAAAGATTGCTCTTGAACTGAACAGGTACAGATTTCATTCTTTTAATTATTTCCTATATGATAACTTATAACAACTATTCACATAGCAGTTGCATTGTACTAGACAGTATAAGAAATCTAGGAATGGTCATAAGTATGTGAGCAGGTGTGTAGACTATATGAAAATAATACTCAGTTTTAGAGGAGGGATTTGGGAATTTATGGATAATGGTAGCTGGGGTCCTAGAAACAATTACATGTATATCAAGTTTTAAATACTGAAAGACAGAAAAAAGGTGTCTTGCCCCTGTCTCCTCTGGAGTCCAACAATTCCTCTGACCAATATAGTTATTGATAAACACAACTGAGAGACATACTTTTCAGCTGAATTCCATAAAGGAAAAGCACTCAAGTCTTCATACATCTTAAAGGTAATAAGAGACAGATAAGGAAGCATGTAATAATTATAATTTAGGGTGACTAGTGCCACGATACAGGTAATGATGGACTATTACCTCTTGGGTACTTAAGTTTTATATCAGGCACTGTTCTAAGCACTTTTCATGTATTAAGCTATGTATTTTTCTTAATAGTCCTATGAAATAGGAACTCAGAAAAGCGATGTATTACAGCCATACTATGTACAAAGCAGAGTTAAGAATTGGACACAGGGGCTGGAAAGACGACTCAGCAGTTAAGAACAATGGCTGTTCTTGCAGAAGACCCAAGTTCAAATCCCAGCACCCACATGACAGCTAACAACTGTCCATAACTTCAGTTCCAGAGGATCCGACAGCCTCTTCTGTCCTCCATGGGCATTGCATGACATGGGTGCTCTTACCTACATGCAAGCAGTACATGCATACACATAAAAATAATAAAATATTTTAAAAAAAGAATTGGACATAAAGGCTGGGCATAGTCTCACATGCCTTTAATCCCAGCACTTTAGAGGCAGAGGCAGGTAGATCTTTTTGAGATCAAGGCCAGCTTGGTCTATATAACAAGTTTCAGGCCAGCTGGGGTTATAGGGAGACCCTATCTCAAACAAACAGCAAAAAGAATTGTGTAGAAATGACTTCTGTAAAATGGACAGAAACTGGACCAATGACTTTTAATTAACCTTTTGACAAAAAACTACTGTAAACAAACTCACTGAGCCATGAGCCTTGTGAGCTGGGCACCTGACTTTGATTCCTGGGAACCTCAATTTGCTGTTTCACCCAAGATAGTGAATGATCCGAGTATGCTTGAGAATTAACAAATCAAAGACAGCACATCTCCATAGAAAGCAATGAAAATTGAGAAGAATGATTGACATTGTATGTATGAGATGTTTTAGGCCTAGGGATGAAAGGGCAAGATTGTCTGCTAAGAGAAAAGTTGGATCCAAGCTTGTAGCTTCCAAAAATTGATGCTGGAGAAACAGTTTTGAATAAAATTACGGGCAAGGCCTGACTAAGTGGCACAGTTCCAGGTGACATCTGGGAGAATGGGTGTCTCTGTGTTTGGGCCCACTCTTAAAAACCAAAGTTAAGAGTCAGGTTGCTTATTCATGTTCACTGTAATATGACACGGTAACGTCACAGAACTGGGCCAAGGGTCTGAAGAGATGGCTCAGCAGTTAAGAGCATATACTACTCTTGCAGAGGACCCAAGCTGGGTTCCCAGCACCCATGTGGGGTGCCTGCCTATAAAACTCCAGGAGATCTTACACCCTCTTCTGGACTCTGCTGGCACCTTCATTCACATGGACAAACCCGCCCCCAACACACATAACTTAAAAATAATAAAATTAATCATAAAAAAAGGTTTGAACACAAGCTGACTTGCTTAAAGTGTATGTTCTTAACCAGCATGCTTCAGGGCTTACAGCCAGGGGGAGTGTGTCCTATGAGCACAAAGCAGGGTCCCTTATGCCTGCAGGTGGGTTCACATTCATAACTCATTCACTTTCGTCTAGGTTTTTGTTGGACCCATTCTGCTGTAGTGTGGGGGCTACTTTGACTGCCCTGTTGCAGAGGCTCACCTAGGTTCTCAACACTAAAGGGAACCAAAGACCACGGGGTGTGTCTTACTCTGCAAACCACAGTTCTTTGAGGTTGTGTATCATGGGGTTCACCGTGTGCAGGTGCTCCTCATTCCACCTCTTGGCATTCTGGTAGATGTTGTGCCAAGGCACAGGGGCCCGGATCACTCTGTGTGGAAACAAGCGAGGGATGCTCTCGATGAACAGCCGTTGCTTCTCCATTGGGTCCATGAGGATGTAATCAACTAGAACCGAGGGAAAACACCATTCTATCAGGTGGGAACTATAAACATCCTGTGCTCTTAGCTCCACACACTTAGAATGCAAAGTGGTCTCTGTTTACACCGGGAAATGCCTCTTCACTTGCCAGGTTGGGGTAATACTTTAGGTATAACTCAGTCAGGAAAGCTCTATTCTGTTCTGTGTTTTCTTTCTGAAGATATTTCATTAGAAGGAGTGGAACTTCACAGTTTAGAGCACCTAGATTCTGAGGTTGAATCCTGTTTTTCTCATGACACTGCACTGGTATTTGCTGATACTACATTACTGATGAACTGATTTCTCACACGAAGATAATTACACACAAAAAATGTGCACACAAATCAATACGGTGGGTAGCACCAGGTATTTACAAATGGAAATTTACATATCAAATGTTTAATATGTTAGGAAAGAAAGATTGGTGAAACTTCATAGAGGAAGTAACAATTGTGCTGCACCATGACGAATGAATATGAGTTTAGGATTGAGGAAGAGCACTGGGGACATATGGAGGTGAAGCACTATCACATTTAGACAGTTTGCTCAAGGAGCTGTGAGCCATGCTGTGGCAGAAACATCATGTGCAAGTGGTGAGGGTGATGGTGGTATGACTAGAGAAGCAAGCTGGAGCTAGAAGTAAAGACCTTACATGTTTATTTCTTAGGAACTGGGTTCTGTGTGACAACAGAGTGCTTAAACTGACAATGTTAGAGTAGCAAAAAGCCCCATAAATTTAACTGGTCAAGACTATAGATTCTCTAGTCTATCTGTTGGAAGACCCACCTTTCCAGTCTCACTGGTCAATTACCTAGTAATAGAACTACCCCTAGGAAGGCAGTTCACCTTAAGTTATGCCAAATAGTTGGGCAGAACACCTGCTGCGTTAATGAGGTAGCGACTATTTCCTGCCTGGAATCCCGCCTTGCAGCTCAGAACTCCCCAGAACTTGTGATGAGCCATAGTCATGTAGGTCTCGAAAACATCATTTTTCCTTTTCTTCTTCATGGCTTTCTTATTAAACATGCTTTCTTTAAGGCTTTTGGCTGCCCCTAGCATCTTGTGTTTCTTTATTTTCTCTCTAAAGCATCCTTCTCCTAGCCATGTGGCTACCAGTCAGCCACGTGTCTGATCTCCATGCAGGCTCTAAACCTGCATGGCTTCATGGCTTTCTTTCCTTCTTCCCACCATTCACCACCTCAAGACAGCTGCCAAGATCACCAGCTCACCTGCCCTGAGATTTTTTTTTCTTTAAGAGTCTAATAAAATTGTAAAAGCTTCTGTTTGGGTCCATTCTTAAATTCTTTTATGAATGAGACTAAGAACCCTCTAGGGGACCCTCTTTCCCCCCATTTCAACACCATTAGAAAGTTAGAAATAGAAGTAAATAGACATTTGGTGAAGGTAGGACAGCAAGGTGTAAGACCAATAGGATCAGCCCTTGCCTTTGACGTGTGTGTCATATTACTCACCCGTCATCAAATACTCCCCAATGTGACCTACTATGTGCATAAGACACTGGGCTGAGGAGAAGGGGAACAAAGACCAGAGATGTACCCATCACCATTCAAGAGCTAATGGTCTAAAATAGGAGCCCAAATTCATGAGAAATGGAATGACATCAGCAAAGAAATAAAAGTGCAGAAGTACTGAGCAGGATGAGCCGAAGGTAGAGAACAGAGGTGCAATGAGCACAGAGGGTGAAGGGGCAGCTGAAAGCTTTGGAGAAAAACACTTCAAACGGGCACGTCTCAAGCTGCATTTTGATGTTGGGGCAGCTCTTGCTACCCATGGTGTTGTCTGTGCCCATCACATCTGAGTCGTCTAGAGCTCATTAGAAATGCAGAATCTCATGCTTCATCACAGATATACAACTACTGAATCAGAATCTGCCTTTGAACAAGATCCCTAGGCTATGAGGATGCCCATTCAAGTGTGGCTGATTCAAGAGCAAACATTAGTGATGGAGGCTAGAGTGTTTGAATGAAAGGTTATATGATATTTTTGGCATATTCAGTCGAACCAGGGTGTCAAGTGATAAATTTGGAGTGTTATGGTTGATCATGATTGCCAACTTGATTGGACTGAAAGATGCCTGGGAGTTTAGTAAAGTATGCACCTAGGTGTTTCCAGAGATGACCGGCATGTGAAGAAGACCTGCCTTGAATGCAGACAGAGACCATCTAATAGGTTGGGAGCCTGGATAGAACAAAAGCCAAAGGAAGAAGCACAGCATGTTCTTCCTACTCTCTCTGCTTCCTGGGTGTGATGAGGTGAGCAGCTTTGCTCCATTCATCACATGTTCCCTGCTGCCATGTTCTGCTCCATCACAGCCTAAAAGCAATACAGGCAGCTGATCATGCCCCCAGCCCTCTGAAACCATGAGACAAAATAAACCATTCCTCCTTTAAATTGATTTTGCCAGGGGCTTTTATCACAGCAACAACATAGCTGACTGTACCCTCCATGCAGGAGTCAGGCCCATTTAAGCCCAGCCTTACCAATGCTTTTCATGAGGCTACAGTAATAGTCATTTTCTTTCTCGGACTTCAGCTCAACTTGCAGGGGTTCCAGGGCAGGAGTTGTCAGCAGCATCTTAGGAATCAGCTTTAAAATTCGAACCATCACTTCATCCTCCTCAGGAGCAATCATGTCTCTTCGGATGCCATGGGTCAAATAGTAATAATATCTCTTCCATAAACAAAGCACCAGAAAGAAAAAGATTATGACTGGGTGACGGCTCACCTGTTCCACCCACCAGCAGAGCTGCTAAGGGCCGTGTCTACACAGCAGCCATCTGCACCCTTCTTCATTTGCTACCACCGTGCTTCTGAAGCCTGTCACTTCACGTTCATTGCATGCAACAAGATCACTGGTAGGTGTTTCTCATGACTTTGGGGGAGGCAAGCAAAGCCCAGAGAAATTTAAGTCGGGGATAATGAAGGACTGACTGTTCAAATGTCATGCAATGAGGGACAATTTGGAGGCAGCAAACAGTATTTTTAAGGGAAGTGGGTCAGTCAGTAAAATGTCTGATGTGTAAGCATAAGGACCTGCATTCTAATACCTAGCACATATGTGAAAGCTGGGTGCAGTGGCTTATGTATGGAACCCACTGATGGGGACATGGTAGAGACAGGTGGATCCCCAGGGCTCTCTGACCAGTCTAGATGAGTCAGTGAGCTCCAGGTTCAGTGAGACCTTTTCTAAAAATAAGTTGAAGAGTAACTGTAGAAGACAACTGACATTGACCTCTGGCTTCCACATTCATGCACATGTGTGAATGCACACCCACACGCAATGAACCTGCTAACAAACACACATACACACATAAGTTACATCCTTACACACATAAATAAAAAATAAATAAAAAGAGTAATGGCAGCACCTTAAAAATCACTCCAAATATCACCCTCCTAAAAATCAGTGCTCCACTAGCAAACACTTTGATCCTGTGGTTGGTAGCTATCAGTGGGGAAAACATCTCCAAGGTCTGAATCCATTTACTATGATATGTCTACTACAACTGCAGGCTTGTGAGTTTAAACACAAACAAAGCAAACACAAATGTGAAGTGCAAGCTGGGGCCTTTGGGGTGTTTTGTTTATGTAGGGTATGCCTCTAAGATGCTGGTGGCTCTACAAAGGAACGATTTTAGATGGATGAGAGGCACAAACTGTGGGAAAGGACTTTGAAATTGGAGTATCAGCACAACTGTCAGGGCAGAAGAAGCTGTTGACAGCTACTACAGCTCACAGCTTCAACCTTAATGGAAGCAGTTTAGACAGAGACTTCCTAGCTTGTGACGACCCTAAATTAAAAATGCATTTGATAACCTAACCTACAGAATACCCCCACTATCAACACAAAGCAGCACAGAGCATGACTTGTGTTCCCTCATGATTATGTGGCTGACAGGAAGTTTGCAAGCCAAGGTGGATCTTTAACTTGCAATCCTGCCTCAGCTTCCCAAATGTCAGGATTATAGGTTGTGTGCCACCACGCCCCACTGCATAGCTCTTCAGAGTATAGGCTTGATATCTGGCAGACCTGATTTTATTCCTAGTTTTGTCTCTGTGTTATCTTGAGTAAGTTGTTTAATCAGTCTACACCCCAATTTCCACACCTGAACAATGAGGATGATCATAGTATGAAGGTTGAATGGGCTCAAACAGCTTCGAGAAATTTTGCTAAAGACACCTGCTCAGCCATTCTGCGTTAAAAAGCTTTCTTTTTATTTATTCGTTTATTTTTATTTTACGTGTATGACTGTTTTGCCTACATGTAGGTGTACCACAGGCATGCAATGTGGATGGAATCCAGAAGAGGGCATCAGATCCCCTGCAACTTGAGTTATGAATGGTTGTTAGGTCCTGTGTATGTGTTGGAAACTGAACCTGAGCCCTTTGCAAGAACAGCCAGTGCTCTTAACTGAAAAGCCATCTCTCCAGCCCCCATTGTGAGTTTTTGTTATTAATTATTCTGTAATGTATTATAAACTCATAAGCTGTTTGCTGTAAAGTAACGCCCTCCCCCCTTTTTTTTGAGATAGAGTCTCATTATGTTACCCTGGCTGGCCTGGAACTTACTATGTAGACCAGTGATAACCTTGAATTCACAGAGATGGACCTGCCTCTGCCTGCCAAGCACCAGGATTAAAGGCGTGTGCCACCAAGCCTGGCCCAAGGTTTGTTCTTTTAAGAAATGGGCTAGAAACTCAACCACCCATCTGGAGCTAAGCAGGTAATGCTCATCAAACTGGCTGGACTCAAGAAAATAACAAAGAATGGGGAGCCAGTTACCAGCTGGACAATGTATTTCTTTTTGTGTTTTGTTTGTGAAACAGGTCTCCCTATAGTCCCAGCTAGCCTGGAACTCGCTCTTTAGACCAGGCTGTCCTCTATCTCACAGAGATTTGCCTGCCTCTGCCTGGGATTAAAGTGTTAAGATTAAATGCTCCTGGCTCTGGACAATGAACTTCCCAGTGAAGGGGGAAAGCAACTGCTCAGCTCTGAGTATTTTTGGTTTTCTCAGGAAGCTGAAAATCCACCTTATGAGAGATTCCTCTCATTTTCAAAACACATCCATCCACAGGCTACATTCACGATAAATAGGGTTCCCAGAAAACAAACAAACCAAAACAAGCAGGACACAGCAGGCTATACTCACAATAACAAGATTCTTCATTGTTTAACTTCAAATTCAAATTAATTCAGTGCTTTCTTTCTTGTTTTAAAAAATCTGGTCATCCTTGGCTAGTGTATGCTCTAAGGAGACCCAACAGTACCTGTTTCTCTCTCTCTCTCTCTCTCTCTCTCTCTCTCTCTCTCTCACACACACACACAGCCTCATTCAGTGCAGGTTTATCATGGAGTTCTGACCTTAGTATTACTAGAACATTCTCCCCAGGTGACTCTGGCATGCACTGGTTTGAATCACTCAGGTGCCAAGAGAACCATTAGCCAGCTGGGGTGAGAGCTCCAGGCATGTACCTCCAGGTCCAATTCAGTTGGCTTTTTCTCTTTACTCTCTATTTCCATCTCCTGCTGCTGCATCACATCCATCTGCTGTTCTGGACTCATTGGCCTGCTTCCTGGGAAGGTCAAACATGTGTCCACATCGTTCTTCATGGGTGAGGAGGTTAAGGCTCTGCAGGGCGGGAAAGCCCTAAAAAGCAGACAGCGTTCATCCCTTGGGGCTCCACAGGAGATTTTTTTCCAATCTGGGGATTGCAATAAAAGTCCCTCTCCTTCATGTCATCTAATGGGCTGCTGTGTGTACCTGAGATGACCCTAGCCATACAACACGTTATATGCATGTAAACACTGGCTTTGCTCAGTTGGCTAACCTACTTCTGTTTAGAGCCCTAAAGGATTGATGGGGAAAGAAAAGTTACTCAAGTGTCTGAGAATGCTTTGAAGCCAAGAAGCAGAATGTTGCTTTATGTCACCAGAGCCTTCTTTGGTTCAGCCCAATGTCCTCCATTCTCTGTTACCTACAGTGACACCTTACCCAGTGGGATCCTCTTTGACTTTGAAGGATAACTTCATTTTCTTCTTAGTGGGCTCTGATGAGATCTTAGCTACAGTAAAAGTAGAAAAGAAAGACATTAGTGATGGGTAGTGCTCTTGGGCTATTCTCTGTCCATAGGGATGTGACTCTTGGGCAAGGTCTTAGAGAGCACTAAGAGGAGTGGGCATGGTATGGTGGGGTGAGGTAAAAGATGTGGACTCTGGTTACCTGTGTGGCTCTTAAACAGTGACTTCATCACTCCTGGCCTCAGCCTCCCCATCTCTAAAATGGGATGAGTGTGCCTTCTTTCATTCATCCATATATTTGACAACTACTAGTAATTTCCTACTCGATTTGCATCCCAACATTGCACATTCCATTTTCTAAGCCACAGCTGTATTATTATTTAATGTTTATTTTAAAATAGGTTCAGGCTTTTAAACTTAGTGAATTTATTTTTAAAGGAAGTGTATATGATGTTCACAAATTTAAAAAATAATCTATAGCAATTACATAATAATTGCAAATATAGAAATCAAAATCATTTGCTACAAATAGAGATAACTATGGCTGTCTCTTCCTGGTTACAGATGACACGCCAGCTTGGCCAATCAAAGGGGACTAGTATGCTTGCCTTCCTTATAAGGTGACAGTTGGCAGCCAGTAAATCCTCTAATAGGGGATAGAATTCTCTCCCCTGCCTGAAATTTATATAAGCTTGCTCCCGAGGTGGATCGGGGCTCGCCGTCCACGACATCGCTGTAACTCAACTTGATTCCTGCAATAAAGATTGCTGACGAGAAGGAACCGGAGGTTGTGTCTTCCTTGCTGGCCAGGGTGGGCGCAACAGATAATAAACAAATTTAGTACATTTTAACTAGAGATCATTACTTGCTAAAGGCTCTAGCCTGAGGAAATTAAACACAGTAGATGAATGTTCCAGGCATACTCATATTTAAATTGACACTTCGAGGGACTCAAAAGAACTGAAAACTCACAGTCAAGATGTGTTCCAGTTCATGCTTTGAAGTCTAAATTCAATAGTAACAGACCAAATACTTAAAAACATAAAAAGACATTGCATTGTTTAAATGATTTTCTACAGGAGACAGAAATAACAGTGTGTGAACACCAAAGACTTCAAAGCTATCTCGAGAAACAAATATCACAGATACCCAGAGGAACATCTGTTTGCAACCACCTTGCTTGCTAAGGCACCTGAAATAAATTCTGTCATCGAAGAATGACTTAGCCCGTCATAAGTACCCACCTCTGCAAGCATGCCTGCAGAAGGAATTTCCCCTCAGTGGTCTTAGGGCTCCTAGGCATCTGCACTGGTGACCCTGTCAGCTGTGACTTAAACCCATCAATGTAGTAACAGTTAAAGAATGATGCAGGGAAACACATAAAAAACTGTGAAGGCCGTAACTTGCCAAAATGTAGAGAATAAAAGACTGCAGTGTGTGTCTCTGGATAGGACTCAGATTAAACTTCATCCACCCAGGGTTCAGGGACTATTGCAGAAAAGGAGCAGAGGGATTGTAAGAGCCAGGGGTGGTGGACGGCCATAAGGAAACAGAGGCTTCTGGGAACTTGCACATATGAACTTATAGTAATGGTGACAGCATGTACAGGACCCATGCAAACTCAGAGCTGGAGAAATGGACAAGCAGCTCCAACCTTAACTGAAGAACTATTGGCAACTGATTGCTGCCAGGTAAGGGAGAGTGGATCTTCTTTCAGGTGGTGACACTAGACAGGCTGAAGAGGCTCCAGTGGATGAACTCATATGGAGGGACATCTGGGTATACAAACTTGACTTGATAGATCTTGACATGTATGACAGAATGCATGAAGTCCTGTGGGCAGGCTATGGGAGGGGTGCAGATAGAGGAGGGGATTTAAATACGATTAAGATGCATTGTATGAAATGCACAGAAATTAAAAAGAATTGAGAAAAAGACCGAAGCTAAACTCGAGGACTGTGTTTTTGGGAGGAAACTCTACTCAAGTTCACTGGTCTGCATAAACTGTCCTGATTTCTATAAACAAACAAATAGGCAAAACCAGTGAGAAGTAAAAGTTATAAACCCAGCTTCTGCCAGTTGAACAGGTAGGAAGAGGCGTGGGTTTGATATGGAGGGAGTCACGGAGTCCTGAGACGCTCCATGATGTGGGGAACTAGAACGGCCTACAAAGGCACAGCAAAGCTGAAGACAGTGGCACTGTCGCACAGACAAACCACAGGCACCCTCAATGCCTATGGTAGCTAGAAATGGCTCAAAAAGGCCAAGGTCAGCTAGATC